ATGGACTGATTGATGAACTGACCAAATTGCTGGACGTGTCGCTGTACGATGTCCAATTAAAGACCAAATCAAAGTCGAACGGAATGTATGTTAATCAAAATCGAATTTGATTTGTGTGACTTGCCACCAAATGTAAAAAAAAGAAACAAAAGTGAAATTCCAGCGGGCTGTGATCTTTGCGGTTTTGCCTTCTGAGAGATCAATGCTCGGGGAAGAGTGAAAGTCAGGTCCAAACATAGTGCTTTATGGCCAGCTTGGGACAGCTCTTTCTCCTATTTGTTGACTTTGTCAAAATTACTCAAGCTATGCGGCAAAAAACTGACCCTCCCACGCCTCGGACTTGGATTATGTCAGGGGCAGGGATCCCTTAATAGGCCTTTATTAACAGTACTTAAAGTACTCTCGAGTTAAACCACAACTATGGCTCCCAAATAACTTTCTTTCGCCCCCAAAGAAGCCGGCCCTGTACTGTCGCCGACAATAAAACTAACACAAAAAATTATAACACAATATAAACTATATAAGCCAGACAATGGCCAAGTACAATTACCTTAACTTTTTCTGCCTCTTCAGCGTGGACCTTCAAAACGCTGAAAGCGAAACTAAAAACGCCGAATGCCGATGCCGGCCATCAGAAAACACCTCCAAGAGCGATTGTCTCGCAGTGGGTGTGCGTTGGCCAAGTTGGCCAAAATGTTTGTAAGTCGTTTTGGCCAACAGACATCCATCAATCACTCCCTCAATGCCTAATTAGCATGCAATTCATGGGAACAATTGAATAGTGTTGGTCAGATTTTAAATGTCATGCTCGCACTTGTTTTGGGGGATTATATAGACGTTATATCGGATTGTGTTCAAGGGCCTCGGAGCCCCGAGACGTGAGTCGAATTTCGAATGCGAAATCCGCTTTTTCTAAGGTCGATCAATGTTTGTTTCGTTAAAGCTGAATTAGCATTCAATATATTATATTTTGATAAAAGTTGAACTTTCCTTTTAGCGGGCTTGTGTGAACTGTAGAACGAGTTCTCACTCACCTGCCGGCGAAAAGGCAAACCTGATTTCCTGTTCGCAGGCCTAAAACAAGTTTATTTTCACGGGCATAACTCAACAGGGGCAGGAAGCATTCCTTTCCTTTTCGAGGCCTCTCGAACACTCACCGAAATAATTAAAAACTCTTGTTCGGCGCTGGATGGATCACAAAAAAGCAATCAGACCGCATTCCAATCAGATACGCCTGTAACTTGACGATAAGAAGCAACTTTCGGGAATATCGGAAAAGTTTCAATTTACTTGGCAATCGATGTTGCCAGGATATTGGGGATTTATATGTGAGTTGTGTCTGTGGGTGGGCGGAAATATATTTCGTGTCAACTGCACATGAGGCGGGCGAAAAATTGAGTTTGACTTTCATCAAATCACGTGACATGCCCTGAATATAGAACACCCGAATTTATTTGGCCACATCAGCTCGCAATCTATGCAAACAAGTGGAGCAAATACAAACACATTTTTGAAGGCTATAGTCCTGTTGTCCTGCCCCGACCCCGCCCCAAAGATTTATGCGTTTTTCATATTGACGTCGCTTAAACAATAGACTCCCATCAGTCGGGATGTTTGGTTTTTGCCATGGCAACTGTCGATTATTGCGCCCTGACTTTGACCATAAAAAGAGGCAAAAAAGCCAATAAATTGTCATTCCCCAAACTATTCTTAATGAATGAATGAATTCGCTGTTTAAAGCGACATTTATGAAGTAAGCACTTCCTGGGTGAAACTTTTTACTGTCAACATTGACAGGACCTCTTACAGTTTTATTAATAAAGTTAGAAAACTTTTCATGACAAAGTTTTTATTTGAATTTTGTGATATTTTTAATCACAAACTTAGGCTTGCCCAGCTTCTCTAATCGAACGAGTCCAGTAATTTTCTCAGCAATTATGGCCAAGACCCGCCAAAAGACAATTCGATCCAGTTTCGTGGAAAAACATAGCGAGGCTGCAATCTTGGCTTTAATTAAGGTTCCACTCCGGCTGGCCAAAAACTGAAATGGGCATAGAAATGCCCACATATACTACCCTGGCCTACCTAGACCTGGCATATCCAACATAAAAGCCCACTTTCGCCTTGTTCATGCAATTTGTATAAACTGTAAATGATTATTGCCAATAAATCTGCAACAAAAAATCTCAGAAAACCGAAAAACAGTGAAACTGGTTGGGGTAGAAAGCCAGAAACAACCTGGGACACCGCCCATGCTGACCACCATCAAGTCTCGGCATCTGGCGGATGATATGTAACCCACCAAGCTGGCCAAAGAGCCAACAACTAGCCACCAAGTGGCAGACGACAGTCACAAACAGGTAAAAGTGATTTGTCTCTCCCCGAATAATCCAATCGTGTTTTGGGGCATGTTGCGTGAATTGAACGCCCGGCTTCCGACAGCTTGTCATGCAAATGAGCTTGTCGATCCTTCGGGAGGGGGTACTAGCCCCCATATCACCCCACTGTGGGTTCACTTTCTTTTTGGGCCCAGTGGTTCTCCCACGTTGGCGCCGCAAATAAACAAATTAGTGGTAATGAGAGGGCGACTACAAAAAGTAAGTGCGACTTGGTCGAAGCGGTCGGAAAACCATTTCCATCTCACAGTTTTCACTTCAAGCGAAAATCTTCGACCTACTTGGCATTCTCGATTACTGGGGGACGACCAGGCCTGCTTTCGTTTTCATTAAGCAAAAAGTGAAACACAAATAGTGGATCTGGTGACAGATACACCTGGCCAGGTGTGTGCAGGTTGTTTAACCCAATTTCGATATCTGGCTTGTGGGCTTAGCCCGCTCCGGCTACGCAACTCCATTTTTTTCGCGCTTTTTGCGGGCCCGATTGCGGTCTAAACGCATTTTGCGGCTAGCTCAACAAAAGGCCAACAAAAACCAGACTTAACTGAACTAAAGCATTGCAATGCGGTATGGATTGCACTTGTCGGTAGGTAGCTGAAAAAATGAATGGAGTATTGCAATATAAATCAGAAATAATGGCAAGTATGATAGGAATTGCATACCCATTATGTCAAATCGAAAAAAACGCATTACTTGGATGATTTCTTATTATCTGAAATCTTATTATTCTCCTTCAGTTCTTCTTCTAAAAGTAAGCTTATCTTGGCCACCTAAATTCAAAAATCAGAACTCTTAAATTTCGATAACGGTCACAAATCGGGCGACTTGCCCAAGGACATTCGCGAACTTACCAACACTGAGAAGGCTATCAAAATGGCCGTCGATCGTAAGTCCATTGGTAGCAAAGAAGTGAAAAAGTTTTTCTGTTTTTCTTGGTATCCTCATCCTAGTCTATAGTGTTTAAACAATTGTAATAAAATTATACATACATATGTATGCATTCACAAAATTGAGAATAGAAATGTATCTACGAAACTGTCACATGTGTTATTTTCTTTGTTCAGTAACCTTTATCTTTAAATGTAATTATTAATTACAATTATTTAGAATGCATGTTCTTCCTCTTTTGATGTGTGTTTAAACTGCCATTTTATTCCGTTTGCTGCCATTATTGACTTTGTTTAAACATTTATTATCTCAGTAAAGCACATATCCCCAAACCATCATACCCCGAAAATAAATAGAAACGTTTTGTGGTCGCCACGCAGACACGCGACGTAAAATTGAATTTAAGGCCTGTCTGAATGCCACATTAAGCCTAAATAAATTGCTTTTCGCAGAAAAACTGACACAAAATTTATAAAACGCTTGCATTGGCTAACCTACGGCTCTGTTTATAATTTTGTGTAAACACAAATTGAAACTAAATATAAAATTTAACGAAAACCCTTTTTCGCATCCCATAGCCGTTGGCAAACAAGACCACCCAGTATAAAATAAATTGAAGCTTCATAAATCAAAGATTAAACGCTTAATTAATCTGGCTCGGTCCCAAAGCACGGAGTTTTATAAATGATGAGCAAAATAAATATACTAAATTGCTAAAAATAACAGAGGAAGTTACTGAAATTCGGTGGGGTGATGTCATTAAGCAAGAAAAACAAATTTAAAAGTTTATTTAAACAATAAGTAAAAAAAAATAACGAGAATAACGTCATCATCGTCATCATAATTATTTCTAATTTTCCCATATCAATGCGGTTTTTCCCACCATCTGTAGCTTATGTATCTCCGGCTGGAGGTCAAATGTATCTGAGTATCCGAGCGGCTCTCGGATGCATGATTAAGTTCTAAAGAAACAGTCTCCCAAGCCTGAGTTCCACGTGACACTAAACTTGACTCGCCGCAACTCATTTACAGTTATTTGCAAATTATTATTGTGTATCTATGTGTGGGGATGCCACCTCCATCTCGGATGCCATCTCCCAGTTGTATAAGCGAGTCAGGATCGACACGCCATTGGGATTGCGTAAATCGAAGGTTTGCAAATGAGAATGGCATGTGCAATCATCGGAAAGCGGCAAACAAAATATGAAAATATTGACAAGGAAAATAGTAGAGGGCTGAGTGAAGGTGACACTACACGACAATATCAGTTTAATGGGCATTGAATAATCAGAAATCATTCAATACTCTAAAGGTGGATGAACGACTCTGGCCTCTATGGGGTTTGTATTCTTCCAGCAAAGCACTTCCTTTCGCACACTTTTCTCATCAAACCGCTTAGCCATTCATAAATCAACTTGCCCCTTTTAGCTTGAAAAATTTTGCCACTCAATATGCAGTTTGGAGTTCTCAGAATTTCCCAACTGCCAGGTAGAAGCTGAAACCAAACAGAAACTGCCACAAACTCAAAAACAAAAAGCTACAAAAACTTGCAAGCATCGTAAATTATGTCAGAGCGTTAAACTACAATTAGAACCCCCACGATAGCGTCTGAGATACAGATACAGCGATGGAGGATTTTTAACGAGCTTCCAACTAATTGTTATTAGAGAGCCGTAAGCTTACGCAATAAACCCCGAAATTGTCAAGAGTGATTACCTGAATTCGGAATTGGGTTAATGCCAATGGTAGATGGAAAAGTCACGTTTCCGGTCGAGAACTGCAAAGAGACAAGAAGAGGCAGGAAATATTAATACGATTTGCTTGAAAATTGTTTGCTGAAATTGGGATAAATCTCTAATGCGACTGGGATTTATCATGGGAGAAATGGCGCATTGTGCGAAAAAGCGGAAGCAGCTCATTCGAGATACGAGATGAACTCTGAAAGCTTGTTAGTATGCTTTCCAATCTGTAGACAAGTTCAAGGTGGCGCACTCATTTTTTGTTCATTCCAGTTTCAATTAAAATGAACAATTTAAGAGTTCTCTGCGAATGGGAATAAAATTGAATCGTTTGCGCTCCGCTGGTCGCAGTCTGACCTACCGCAGGCATGGCCCCCTTCGGTTGGCAATCTTCTCTGGATATTAAATTTCCAACTCATTAAAATTTTGCACACTGTCTGTGATGTCTGGCTGCTGGAGTGAGTGACGGTTAAGGGTTGTCCGGGCCTGGCTGCTACTCCACTTTTTCCAGCCGGCCTGCCAGAGGGAGCCAGAAGCCTGTCATTCATAAATGAAGTGCATAAAAATGCCTTCAACTGATGTGAGAAACGTGCAGCCCAGCCTGACAACTTTTTTAAGGGCTTTCTTTCATCTCTTTAACATTTTTCCATTACTTTCCGCCGTTCATTCATGGCCCAGCTTAATCAAAACCTTTTGACTTATCAATTAGGAATTCTAGAGTGATTCACTGACCACTAATTGATAGCAATTGGGCAGGTTCCGGAAGGTCGACCCTCTGGGAGCGGAAGTAGGAATTATTTACCGAATACCGAGTCTTATCTTATCCGCTCTCCATCTGCGTCATATATATTGGAGGTGTATTATAATTTTAGAACGGAGTAGAATACAGAAACTTGCGTCAGCCCGGATCAGCCCACGCGGGGTAAATAATAAACAATGAATCGAATTTGGCAATAACAAAAAACAGCGAACCTAAACCCAAATTGCGGCAAATTGGCCGTCAAGTGAGAGACACACTCTCGTATTCGCTCGATTGTTGGAGCTCGAGCAACCAGAAACCTCATAATTGGAGAGGTTCCTACAAAAGGTCAGCCCAGCAATTGGCGAACCACTCGAACAATACCAAGACTGGGGGAGAAACGAAAACAAACTGTTGAAAAATAAAAACAAAACCCAATGACAAAGCAAAGCAATAAAAATTAGAAGTTTGTGGCAAGATTAAACGTTTTCTTCCATGCCCTTTTGAGAAAGGGAGTCACTCGGTTTCTCATAAAGTTTGTAATGAAAAGAAACATATTTTCTTGAAATTAAAACACAACTTTAAAAAGATAATGAAGGAATAACTTTTAGATTTGGAGCTTTATCATATTCGTTCTATTCCCTCAAGTTCGATGTGTGAACCCCATTAGAGTATTCCACAATGTCTGAGTTTTCCACCGGTTTCTTGGCTTTTCCGAGTGACGTTTCACTTGTTTTCCTTTATTTTTGGAACCACGACAACGACGACAAGCCCTTTTTGCTGTTGTGCGTTTTGACGCTTGTTTTTCTGGGGCGGGAAGCATTTAACTTGGCTAAAAGCAGCATTAGTCCGATGTATGGGGCGTGGTGCGCCCGAAGGGAAGGCAGTCAATTAATTTTTTAATGGCTTAGACAAAATGACTGACTTTGGGCTATTACACAAAAACCGAAACGACAAAAGAATGGCGGAAACGGGAAAGTTTTCTTTTCAGCTAGAAATTGTCAATTAGCAAAGTGCCTGCCAAGAATTGGCAATTTTTGAAACTCCTTCGAAGGAGCAGAGTATTACGAATGGAATCTAATTGTCCCGGGCTTGAATTTTTATGATGTTTAATCTGATTTTGAGTTTTACGATCTGGGCATTTTTTACGGTCGTTTGCCTAACGACCTGGGCGCCGATACTTCGCCGCTGGGCCCGGACTTTTTAAACTTTGGACCTGTTTGCGGTCTATTTTTATTTATTTAGGAGCCCCGGACCTGGACGCTCTGGCCAAAACCAAAGCAATTTGTTTTGATTGAATGAAATATCAAAAACGTGACCCGGCCGTGCACTTTGAGCAATCTAGCTGGCCGACGAGAAGCAAATGTATAATTCAGGCAATGAATACAGTACTTGCCTTCCAGATACGAAGCCGGACCGGGAGATACATTCGTCTAAATCCAAATGAAATGTATGCAAATGAGCGTGAACAAGCGCCTTGGCCCCAAGCACGTGCGAGTGATTGAGCTGATGGAGATAATGCCTCCTATCTGCGGGAGACTGATGTTCACTCTTCGTTAAGTACTCCACGATTAGTAATCGAAGAGCGTTGGTCCAGCTTCCACTCAATAACTCATTCACATGTTGCAGCCATCTCGAGGCACTCCATCTCCCCCCCAGTCGTGTTCAAGTGGCCAGTTAATCCTGGCAGCTTCCTGCGTCGGCCAAGAAGCTGCCGGTCTGGAGGAGCATGTGAACAAACACGCACTGGAGCTGGTTTGAATACTTCATCATATTCATGACTTTTACATGGATTGCACTTCCGTGAGAGGCTGCTGCTTAACAGCGAGGGTAGCTACAGTATTTGCTGCTTTATTCAGTCTCCTGGATACTATAGAAGTACTATTTCTAAGTCAACCATCTCTCCCCGTTCACAATCCTTCACATCCTCATGTTATATTCTTGAGGTCCACAATTCCGCGTGTTTATCGACGATAATCTACATCCTGCCATGCCAACATTCAACACCATCTCTTGGCCAAATTTATTCATCGCGGCGTTGATAACTTCATCGAACCTCCCACGCTGCCCTGAGATCCCTCACTTTCCCAGCGTTCTGTGGAATGCTTTTTGCAACGCCATAACTTTGCCACAAGCCCCCCACTCCAATCTGACTTAAGCCTGACCCATCTGTGTTGGCCACATTGTTTGGTTCTCTAGCGTGGTTTTGTGCTTCTCCTACACAGCGACAAAAGGATGCCCCCAAAAAGGACTTGTTTTCCATTCGGAATGGCTAATTGGGTAGGTTTTTTTGCGGTGTACATCCGCGGGTCCCCAGCTGCGGTCACACACTCGAAATCTTTGCGGCCGGAGGTCCGGGAGGGCGGCATTTCTGGAGGCGGTCGGAGGAGGCCACTTGGCCGCGACCATAGAAGTGACTTAACTCGTTTTGAGCCTCGCCATAAGCTCTGGCTCTTTCAGTGGAGTTGCCTGCATCTATTTCATTTCAAACTCCGCCAGACGGGCCCGACGATGACACTTGACTGAATATTTATGACCACAAATGGAGCGAAAACAAAATCGCCAAGTCACGGGCCGGGTTGTGGAAAAAAAGCGAACACACATGGCGATATGGCGATGGTTTTGAGATGCGGATGGGATGACCATGCCCTTATTGGGCGCAACTGTAACCGTTAGCCTAACTGACTTGGCCAGCGAATCAGTTAATTCTTAAGTTCTAGGATACAACCAGAATATAGATACTCTTTCCATAAACCTCCAGCGATCTGTATCTTTATCTGGTCTTTTGTGTGGGCACATGAATGCCTGTTCTTGTCTGCTCTCGCTGGCAGCCTCAAATATTTGCTCCTATTTATGTGGCTTTTGTTTTATCAGCTTGTTTATTCAATGATTATGGGTTTGCTGCCTTTTCCGTGAGCTGAGTCGGCAAAAGCGGCCGCTCGACTACCGTGTTTGGTTAGGTTTTCGGCTGTTGCTGGCTAGGGTCTAAGCCCATCGCCCTGTACATAGTATCACCGCCCTGGAGTACTCTCCGGCAAGCATGTAATGAACCATAAGCAATTATGATAATGTCGTTTGAGTTTGTGTTCCGCTTTCGTCGCTGTTTCCTCGCTTATCAGCCTCAAGCTCGGAGGAAGGGGTGGCTGGGCGGTTAACAGCCTCGAAAATGTTGACAGAAGAGTAAAAAAACAAGAAAACACGAAAATATCAAGTGATTCAAAGGGGAAAATATCCGCATAAAAGTTCAAGGGAGTTGGGCGAAAACTCGAAACAATTAGACATATTTCGAATAAGAAATATAGAAAATATTCCATAAACAAAGCAATAGATTGCAGGAACTGTCAGGGGAACGAGTTTCTACGACTGACTCACAGAAACTGCGCTTTCGTTTGTGTTTATCAAATTTTTGTTCATATTTCTTTAGAAATTTGTGTTCATCGAACGATTTCCCATGAATGTCACGTTCGCAATTGAAATACAACAATTTTTTTGTTGATATTTACGTTTATTTTTGAGGCTTCGAGGGGAGCACAGGTTGGAGCAATTTGCGGCAAGTTTTTGCCGAGCAGGAAAAGTTGTGGCCTCCGGGCAATTTATGCAAATCAAAATGGATCTGTCCGAGGCAGTGCCTCCATCGATGGTCTATCCAAGAAGCCCCCGGGCGGGGCTAAATTAAAACTCTCGCTTTGTAGCACTTTTCACCTCAAAGAGCCCCAAAGAGGTGTACAGATAGAGAAAGGTCTGCCTTTAGAGGGGGCTATGATTTGTTCGTTTTCTTGGGAATTTCTCTCTCTGCATTGATAGTTTGACACTCGACACCCGACTGGAATAAACGTTTATCTAAAGTTCAACAACTTATGCAAATAATGCTGCCAGACAGGATTGATTGAGCTTGTACTTGGGTGAGTGTGTGTGGGATGAGTGTGCTTCAATCAATGCCAGTGCCAATGCCTCGGCGCATATGAAAGCACTTTGTGTGCAGGAATTTCGTTCCTCTATCATGATTGCCAGGCGCAATTGTAGTTGCCTCTCGGAGATATCTTCAATCATAGCTTCATGTGCCTGGCACCCGTTTTCTTCCGATGAGTAATAATTTTCTTAACTTGCGGGGCCCTTCCCGAGGGGTACAGGTTAAGGTGATAAGTCATGGAGATTCTCGAAAACCATTGTCCAAATATTTGAGTTGGCGTGTTTGTAAGGTAAACCTGGAACAAGCAGCCGATTGTCAAGTCAAACATAACCGAAGTCTGTTCTTTAAAAAACACTTGGTGACCAGAACAGATAATGATCTGTATGGAA